TGTTGCTTTGCCGAAGGTATTCTCCTCGGGGGGATCTTATTTGGACGGTGATTGTCTGTGTTTATTCTGTGCTTCACGAGGTCTATGCAGTTCCCCTAACCTCAAGAGCCTGTGATGATGACAAATGGACTATACTCTTCTTATAGAGGTCAGTTAAATGTTCTGGGAGAGGACGTCCTTTCTTTATGGTCGTATTTCTTGGCTTTAACATTGACTGGCTCTACCTCCTGGCACACACCCAACAACACACCTTAAGTGTCTGCTCACATTTATAGAAATTAGCCACTGTTATGGGTACTACTTGATGACCTGTCACAAGTGATATTCCAATCTTCACGTCCACTGGCCTGGATGGGTCTTCCACTGCTACCTCGGGGATGTTCTTTTATTCTACCCCGAATTATCTTCTCTGACATAGGGGTATTGTATTTGACTTAAGTGCCGTGACATGCAAATCAACAGATGCAGCAATTTACCGGAATTTGGCCTATGTTGTTCCCAAACTTCATTTTATCGAAGTTAACTACACACTTCCTCGGTAGTCCTTTTCTTCCAACAATTGCTGTAACCACTCTTATTGTTTCTTTTCTTTCTCCTCCAACCACTGATGTTGTCTGTCTTCTTGTTTCTTTTCTTTTTCTTCCAACAATTGCTGTAACCTCTCTTCTTGTTTCTTTTCTTTTTCCTCCAACAACTGCTGTAATCTCTCTTCTTGTTTTTTTTCTTTTTCCTCCAACAACTGCTGTAATCTCTCTTGTTTCGTTTCTTGTTCTTCTTGTTTCTTTTGCTGTTCTTGTATTGCTGCCATCAAATCTGCTAAGCTGTAGTTTGATTTGCCACCTCTTGTTTCCATCTTCTTTTTTTTTCTGCCCCACCCTCTGACACCAATTTTTTGCATATCTGCTTGTTTATTAATTTCCCATAGAAATTATTTTAAAGAAACTTCAGCAATACAAGTCCTTTCTTGGTTAAACCAGTTTATTCTTCCTCAATATAAACTTTTAGCACACAATAATTTCACAATCAGTACGTTTCTCGTCACTTTAAACTTAATAACTTTTATAATACATGCTATAAATCACAACGATTCACAATCTTAATAAATTTGCTCTCTATGAGTGCAAAACACACACTAGCTCGAAACAGAATCGTAAGTTACCTGAAACTCACCGTGACTACTGTTCGCTTAACCATACATTCAGTCCCACTGGCTTTTCTTGCCAGGATTATATACTAACAAAGAGGCTTCTCCAAAATTCGTGGGGTTCCCCGATAATTCAAGAAATTTGGTCACGCATGTGCCAGCAGCGTCGCATAACTTCTGCTGTCGTAACAGTATGCTTAATAACAGAAGATTTGTCAAGATATTTATTGTGAAATGATTCTGCATTTTCTGAATAGCTGAGTTGGTAGAAAGCAAAGAGTTAGAATGCAAAGTAAACTTAAACACATAACAGTTTAAGTAAAGGGCAACGCAAACATCAGAAAAAACTCAACAATAACATATCCCATGGTTGTGGCACCAAAATTTTCTTCCTTTTGTTTACTCTGTGCTCTGTTGTGGCAACAAAATTTTCTCCTTTTTATCTAATTTGTGCTCCGTGTTATTTTCTGATAGTACTGACTTTCTCTAAGAGTTGTAAGACAGATCCACAAAATAACAGGGGATTCATCAAGATTTTTAAAATGAAATACTTTTATTCTCTAAGCTTTCCATGAAGTTCGTGTTTTTACCTAAACTTTTAGGACTAATATGGGTTTATCGGGATATAATTCTTCACCCGGTATGGTAAAAACTTCTAATTAAAAAAAGTAAAACTTATTATGATATATTTGGCTTCGATTTACTTGAAACCCTTTACATCGAAAATTGGAGCCGAATGTGGCCTTGCAATTACCGTACATGAACTGCAGATCTGAAAATTTTGTTTCGCGTCCCGTTGCCGCAGAACCAAGCTCTGCTCTTTTGAGCACCATAAGTGCACTGTGAGAGTAAAGGTCAAATCCCACTTTTCGGTAAGACAAGCGTTGGTAATTGGTGCTGTTGACCAGCTGCCTTCCATCTAGTCAATATATTTTGAGTTGGGGATGATTGTGCGCAGGTAGCCCTTTGGGTTGTTTCGCCTGAAAATTCTAAAATAAACAAATAGACAGAATAAAACTGTGTATCGTCAAGCTAATAAGAGCGAAAGACCTAACTCACATGTTTATGCTAAAACTGCATTGGATCGAACTTGAAAATTCTTATGTTAATAAAACAAAATTTGAACCATAAAACATGCCTGCATAATACTTATTAATGTGCATCCAATCCGAAAAAGCAACAGCAGTATTTCCTCAAAGTACCAGTGTTCTTCAGATAAGAAGAATTGCGATTCGGGTGGTATTATGTTTATTTGTAATTAAGCACAAAGCTACACAATGGGCTATCTGTGCTCTCCCCACCACCAGTATCGAAACCCGGATTCTAGCGTTGTAAGTCCGCAGACATACCGCTGTGCCACTGGGGGGCGTGGTATTATGTTTATTTATTTTTTCATTCCCTTTCTGTTCGTTTTTACTCGTGCTACAAATCCCCTCTATTTTTGTCTGACATTCAATAAGCTTTTCAATACCCTTTAATTTGGATAGCATAATCTTTTGTTTGCTTGCATACCTTCTATAAGGTTTTACAAGTTTATTTATTTTTAGTTGTTTTTCCTGTTTTCAAGTGTGTCTAACCATTGTCAAGGAAAAAAATTATCCGTGTCTGACGCAGTATATATCAAAATTTTCAAACATTCCATTTGTACATGTTTGATCTGTTAAATTATTTTGTTTTAGATACATAATCAAGCTGCCGTAATGAACATTAAAGAAGTTAAGAGTTATAAATTAGGAAGAGCTATTTCGAAAATGTCAAATACAAGAACAGTTTACTTTTGAATTTAACTTCCAACAGTCTAACTGTTCAGTTAAAGATCTTTTATCGGCATAGTTGTTGAAGAGAATAATAGTGTGTATTAGATCCCAGGGACTGTTATATTATTATTATTATTCCCAGAATTTAACATTATGAAATGTCTTTTAAAAAGAAATAAGCTGATCAATTTGATGATCGATTATGTCTGAGAGTAAATTCTTAATATAAAAGAGTATTGTAAATTTTATATCTAAGTTAAATTGAAAAAAATCACAATATTTTTACATGTATAAAGCTAGAATTACTTTTACAATTTTACATTTATTCGAGGATATAAACAAGCATTTATTTTTCCTTAAACCACCAACTTGATATTCACTTCAACTAGGGGGTAAAATAATAATAAACATTAGGCATTAAACACTTCACGTAGTCCTCCCCCCCATTGGGTCAATGGTAAATTTACAGATATATAATCTAAAGTTCAATTCTCCGCGGTGGACAGAGTGTAAATAGTCCATTGTATGGCTTTTAGCTAAACAAACTTTAAAATGTTTTACACAATAATCAAACATTAATATTTTGGAGGAGATGTTTTATTTCCACTTTTCATCAATGACTTATTTACAGTTTTAAACTTATGTCTAATTAATAGTTCGAAATTTTTGTAAGTGAATTGTGACGATTATGTTAAAACTTTTATGAAAAGAAAAAAAAACAACAACAAAAATCGAGTTTTGTTAACCACACATTACTCTAGCCAGGTATTCATACGGGATGAAACCGAAATCTGAACTTGTCTATTCTCCTCTGATGGGTCTTGAAAATTAGCTGATATTCTTTTAATTTTGAGTCTCATTTATCATAAGTTGGTAACCAGGACTTAAGTTGCTCTACAGGTGAAAAAGTTGCGATTCAGATGGGTTGTGTTAGCTGACAATCTATATAATTATATGTTAGCTGACAATCTACATAATTCTGTTACTGAATTAGTTCGTTGTTTTTTTCTCGTACTTCAAATTACCTCTACATTCATCTGGCACTTTCTTCAGCTTAACGCTCAGTAACTCTCTTAGATCAACTTGTGGACCTTTATTATAATTAAGTCGAGAAGCTCGAATTTGGTTTTTATGATGTTGCATTTCGCCGAAAGATTTAGACGATTTCTGAAATACTGAAGAATTTGAACGACGAGTGTGAAGGGAGCCTGGTGTAGGACATATACATCGTGGTTGAGTAGCTGACTGTGGAAATGGTAACGTTGTGTTTCTACTGGTAATGGAGGAGGAACAGGTAGTGACTTTGTTATTAGACGTTGAGTAGAGCACTGAGGTGTTATTTGTCGCTGAGGAGGAGTTGGTGGTAGACTTAATGGATCTGACTGTCCAACATGGTGTATGGGCTTAGAAAGTAAACTTAATAAAGGCTGACATTGTCCTGTTTCGATTCTCTTCAATAAACGGTTGATGACGATGTATATCATTTATGGCTGCTTTTTCCACAGTATATGATAAGGATTTCATGGTAGATATGGATGGGCGGCCTTGGTGATCTTCGATTAAAAGCAAATCTCTGTTACTTTCAGTATTAGATGGATGTATATATCTTAAGCCATCGTCATTAACTGTGTAAAGTTGTTGAAATGTCTTACTTGAGTCATGAAGTGGGTGTTGTTGTTGGCGAAAATCCGAATAAGGGTAGACTGAAAGAGTAGAATTTCCGGGAACATAAGGTATATGAGGACTCTGGTCATTACAATAGTGTGGTAAGAACAATTCATTTTCAGGTAGGTAACCCTGTTTATCTGAGGGAATAGTCTGATGTACTGGAATGAGAAATTTGTTAAAGTGATTTTGGATTGAATTTGAATAAGGATAATAATTTTGGAATAACTCTGGATATGTATAGTAACTTTGGAATGTCTCTGCGTTTGGGTAATAACTTTGGAACGACTCTGGATACGAATAATGATTTGGGAATGACTCTGCATATCGATAACGATTTTGAATAAACTCTTCATGTGGGGAAACATTTTGGATTGACTCTGTATAGAGATCTTTTTGACCCAGTGAAGATGCTGGAAGTATTAGTTGCCCTAAGGGTTTCTGCTGGTCTCCTATATGCATTGACTGGTTACGTCGAAGGCTTTCATCTTGTGAATACCTCACCTCTTTGTCATAAACGGCCTGAAATGTAGAGAATCTAGTTCTACCTGGCAGAATTTGCTGTGCTTCTGTAAAATTCAATCTTGGATACATTTCAGTCTGTCTAAAAACAGATGGATATGCACGTACATCTTGAGCTAGTAGAGAAGTTTTATGGTTTTCCTAGTCATGATGTGATCTAGCAGATTTAGACCAATGAGTAGTGTGGTATTTACGTCTTACAACTGGCAGCGTATGGTCTTCTCTCGAATTGTCTGGTTGTCCCGTTGTTTGAATCTTCTGAAGAGTAGAGAACTGTTGTTTAGGATAATCATAGTGATGTGTACTAGGAACATGGTTGTGTGTGGTTTGTTTTTCAGTGTTATAAATAGATAGATTTTCTAGATTCTTTTGTTGTGTTAAATCTTTTACACTGTTGGAATTCCGATATTGTTGAGATGGCCGTTTTTTGTGTAATTTATTTTGTTTGTCCCATTCTGATAAATATTTCTTCTGAGACTGGACATGAACTGGAGTCTCTAGAAGATCACTTTCAATCGACGTAGGTGAAGATTTAACGAAAGCTTTAACACGTAGGTTTTGTCCAGGCCTAATATTTGATGCTTTTGCTGGTTGTTTCTGTGACTGGGAAGAAGGTACTATGTTCTCATTCTCATACAGAATACGTGTTCGTGGTGACACCCAACTCTGAGGTTGATATTTCACATAGGAATTTGACAATGGTGGTTTGTTGTAAACAGTACGATAATGGTGTATGGATTGATGATCGGTTGTAGGTGCCCTGAGGCGATCAGAGGTTTTTTGAATTAACTTATGAGGTCGACGAGACTTGCGAATCACCGAAGGATTTTGCTTTAGGTTAACTTTGGTAGATTTGGAAGACTGAATTCTATTGTCCTTATTTTTCCGCTGATAATCAGAATATTGTCGAGAAGATAAGTGATTATCGTCATTATATTCTCTATTTTCAGATATTGTATTTTTTAACTTATAATTCCTGCGTTGTGGAAATGCCTTCTGAGCTGGTAGCTTTTCAAAATAAGCTACTTTACTGAGCATACTAGTTTTTTCCAGATTTGGCGTCTTTGATAGTTTCTGCTCCTGTGATGTGCTACGATTACGAATGGATTTTCGAGCCATAACATCCAGAGGTTGAATAATTGGAGATATATTATCGTTTTCTATCAAATTCTTCTGCATTTTTCACTAATCTTCTTTGCTTTATTCGAAACCTCTGAATGGGTGTTGACCTGTTTATAATAATATCTATATTAATTAACAAAATCCTTGACTAAAATCGCATAGTTTCATAAATTACATTATATAAAACTGACTTCAATAATTTTTATATAATTTTGCAGTTTTGATTTGCATAGTTAACCTGCTGATGATCAGAAATTCCTAATAATATTCAAACATTTTTACTATGAAATCAAACATGTCATCAGTAAACTGAATAGCAGCAAGTTGTGGCAAAATAATCTAAATATTTTTCGTAGCTAAAACAAGGTTATTAAGTGATCGAATTTTATATCAAATGTTCATCTAAACTAAATAATGATGGGTTTATATTACTACTTTAATATTTCTACCGCCTATAAAACATTCACCAAAAATTTGTGAAAAGTTTTTAGCACAGAGACAAAAAAGTGGTTAAAATATTTCTACCATCCAATTTGTTATATTGCAGCAACATTTAATGCTGATATTTTATGTTTTTTCTACCGTTACCATTATTTTTAATACGAATATCAAAGAAATGTAAAGAGGAAATCTATTATGAACTTACTAAATGTAACTCACACATAAGTCATTATACATTTTGTAAAAAAATAAAATAGTATGGTAAATATTTTAAACATAAAGTGGAAGAAAAAACAAGCCAAGATTCGTATAGAAAGGTCCAAGTTTCGGATTACGGTATGTCGCTGAACGCGTTCAGTTGTGAGCACGATAAACAAGTGGCAGTCAATCTAAGTATTTGGCTAAGAGTAGCCATGTAGGCGGCGGGTGTTCTTTACTGGTTGCCCCTGTTTCTGAGCAGCAATCCTAAATGACGGATAACTATTCTGTACGATGAGATATTTGACCTCGTCAGTAAGTTCATGTGTCGCACCATATTGTTATTAAGCACGAAGGGTTATTTGTGCAGTGTCCACCATGGATATCGAAAGAAACTGTTTTAGTGTTATAAGTCCGAAGACTTATAACACATCTTTGGGGGGCCCGGCATGGCCAGGTGGATAAGGCGCTCGACTCACAATCTGAGG